ATGGTTTAGGACCTGGCTACCTGAGAGACCACCTCCTGCCATTTACCTCCCAGAGACCTATAAGATCACACAGACTAGGCCTCCTCCGGATTCCATCTGCCGGTCAATGTCGGCTGGCGACTGTAGCTGCTCCAGCCCTATGGAACGATCTCCCCGTGGAGATCCAGACCTTTACTACTCTTCCGGCCTTCCGCAAAGCGATTAAGACCTGGCTGTTCTGGCAGGCCTGGGGCTGCTGATTTATCCAGACCCATTCTAAGCTATATGAATGTTGTGAAATTTTAATGTCTGTTCTTTTTAATTTTTATATGTTCCCCCTTTCTGCCTTTATCTGTAAGCCGCCCTGAGTCTCTCGAGAGTGGGCGGCATACAAATCCTAATAAATCGTAAACCGTAAACATATCCAAAAAGTTATTCATACCCTGAATATAAAAGCAATATTGAATATAAGAGCAATATATGGATTAGGAGCAAGGCTTTTCCGTTTTTTAAAAATATCTATTAAATGTTTTTAAAAAAAGCTTTAGATTTTCTGCAATCAGAAAATTGTATCTACAAAAAATAGAAAAATTGTGGGCTCCCTCCTCCTATTACTTTTACCAAACAGTGTTTGCTACCATATGGATTCATTCTCAGGAACAGCTAAAAACTGCTCAGAAATTTGACATTGTGATAATGATGTGTTAACAGGGAATATTAGGTAGAACTGTTATTAAATGAGCAGATGATGCTTACTTGCAATTTAAAATTCATTGTAACGTACATATCAGGAAGGATTGTCAATAATGTATAATGACTGAACCAACTTAAATGCAAAAAGGTATTAAAAAGTTACTAGAATTTATCTGTGCATATTTTGCAGATGAATTTTGTGTTGTTTTGCAACTTTTCATTCCAGATAATTTGTTTATATGTACTTATGTGCTGTTGTCTTTTCATGTTTTTAATTACCTTGTTAGCCAACTTTGTAGGATATTTCTAAGTTGATCTTAATAACAGAGTCTTTCTTTTTTATAATCTACAGCAAAATGCTACTTGCTTTAGCAATTGCTTAGAATAGCATAAGTTCTAATTCTTAAATTTGAAAATTATATTTTCAATTAGAAGGGAAAGATAAATGGTTATTCTACTCTTATCAAGACTGCAACAATGCCATTTTTTCTTCACAGGTACTTCACATCCCACTCCTCCTTTTTGTATAGATGTTATAGTCAGTGAGGTTTTTTTTATGTTGCTACCTTGTTTTTGCCTGTGTCTATAATCATTTTTTTGCCCTGAGCCTACTCATTTCCTTTTAACTCTTTCTCAGATCCTATGCATTCTAATTTTTCTGTTCTTGTAATTCTCACTTATGTTTCCCTTCTAATATAGAGGCTTTAACATGAAACACATTTATCTTTCATTAATTTATAAAGCGAAATGCATGTTCCAGGATACTAGCTAAAATTGGAGATTACAACTGCTTTAATCAACAATTCCAATTAATTTTAACAGATAGCATATTTGCTGTACTGTATGTGTGAATCAAAAGGCAACTGGACTTCTTGTTTTTGCTTGGACTTTTCACTTCTCATCTAATTCACTTCTCCTAGGAATCAAAGCCTTTTACTTTGTCCTTTTTTACCCAGATTTGCTCATGAATATTTTTAATCTTATATTTTAAACCATTATGTTTTATTTCCTTATTTCTTAGCCTGTCCCTTTTCATTTCTTCTTTTTTCACGGCTCCAGGTTAAATCCCACTTTTTCTATCTCCCCTCCTTCCCCAGCATGTCTCTCTCTTTTGTAAGAAGGCCCATAATTTTTATGCCTTCCATAATTGATCTGAAATTAATATTTAATTCTTCTGCCTTGAGATATCTTCTTCCCTTGTCCAGAAGTTTATAATTTATTTCTTTACTGAGTCCAAGATATCTGTTAGCAGACAATCTTTTGATCTTCTAGTTACTCTTCATGAAGGTTTTTATTTTTCCAAATTTGGAATTAAAACCTTGATCATTCTTTTCCTTCTGACAATATTGGGAAAAGTTCATTTCATTATAGAGGACTGTCAGTAGTCCAAAGGGAAGTCTTGTGACACCATTTGGCCAGCAGAAGCCAAGACTGGGCCAATCCTGGGAAAGTGAGTTTTCTGAATTGCTTCTAAAACCTACAAGGGAGTTTTGCATACGATTTCAGAAGCTTCACTATTATTAACGTCTATGAACTGAAGTTTAACACTTGTTGAAAGGACTAAAATGAATTATATCATTAGGTCCACTTAATATGAATGCCTTTTTGATAGAGAACCGCAATTTGAATTTTATGTATGTGACAGAAAGGGCTGTGCCGAAGTTGATCTGCTGTTACTCCCCACATTGTCCAGCATATATGGAAAAGTAAAGAAATGTAAATGTACCATTTTTAACCTTGTTCAGGCTAGCTGTAGTTATTTTAAAATTTGATGAATAAATAAATAAACAAAAGTTCCTTCATTCCCTCAAAATAATTGCAGTAGGTCTCTCTGATTACAAGAAGAAAAGCTGCCTGTCATCAACTTCCTGGCTATTTTATGAGAATGTGTTGAACCTATGTTCTTCTAGTGAATTATGGCTGCGTGGATGTTTTATATTGAAATTTTGAAGAAGATGCACATGGATAAATGCACAGATAAACATGAGAACCTAAATGATAACTCCTGCTTTTCTTGGCAGTAGCTGCTTATTAATGTTCATGATGATGATGTTCAAGTTATTCTTAAGTGTGCATGTATCTGCATGTGTATGTACAGACATGCATGTGTGTTCACATGCCTCAAGTCCATTTTTGACATCTGGTAACTGTCTGAACAAGTTTCTGCAGTTTTCTTGGCAACTTTTTCAGAAGTGATTTGCCATTGCCTGCTTCTAGGCTGAGGGAGAGCGAGCAGTCAACCACTAAGTTTCCCTGTGACTTTTTGCTATTTTTCCTTCATTCCTTCATTCTGAAAATTAACAAAATTTGTACATGTGCTTACATTTTAGTCAGTGAAGAACTACACCAAATGTCATGTAAGAAACGAACAGATATGTAATAAGTTGACTAGTTGCAAAAGCTGTTCTCTAAACCTCAATTGCCAGTGGGATCAGCGACAGCAAGAATGTCAAGCTTTACCAGGTAAAAAGAAAAAAAAAGTCTTTTAAAATAATATTTTAATAATGTAATATTTAATAGCACATAATCGTTCTGTTAAAGAAAGAATGGGCCAGTCATATCAGGAATTCAGATTATTTCCAATTTGACAAAGACAACTGTGATATTAAGTATTCAGTGTAATCAGTACAATAATAACAACAGTGGATTCTGTGTGTGTGTGATTTAGTCTTAGCATAAATTATGCCAAATGATGTATCACATTTATCAATGTAAATGATGTAAATTTCCCTAAGAAAAGTCATCAACTTTTGCTTACTTGTTTATGTGCTGTTTTGAATGCAATGAACATAGCTTCTGCTTTTTCATGTGTAGACAAATATTTTGTCTCGCATCCAAAGTCAAATTAATGGGATTCCATTAAATCAAAGTTTCATTATATTTGATTCAAACGTAACTATATTTTTCTGGATAACACTTCAGTAAGTTTCAAAACACCTATTAAACTATGTTTTCTAAAGATTGTGTATGTATAGAGCACGGGTAGCTTTTTTGACTGAAAATCCTTATTAATCATCTTACTTTCTGGTAACCCTAACCCATTTTATGTGTTATTATTATCGTTTTACTCTAGTCGCTATATTAATACATTTACTAATAATCTCAATGAGGACTTTATTTTTGTTCAAAATAAAAAAGTGAGAAAAATGTAAGAGACTGTAAAATATAATGCAAAAAGAGATGCAGAAATACTAATCTATCCAGTTTTGTGTTATCCACAGGTAACTGAAGGCAGGATAAAAGAGTAGGACAGAAGGTTGAGACCAATGTTGCCTCTAAGCTGCGCGGGTGGGTGGCCGCACATGTTGCAACAAAACACCATGCAGCAGTTCCAACTGCCACGCAGTGGTTTTTGTGAGACCCTTTCCACGATAATAGGAGAGAAGAGCCAGCCTGGAAACAGCAATCAGTTCTAGGTCCACAAGGCAGAAAGTAGCTGAGAGAAGGGGTGTGGGGGTTGGGAGAAGGTATGGGATGGGCTCCCAGCAGCCGCTGCTCAGATTTGCCATTTGCAAGAGAGGGGGGGAGGGAGGGAGGGGGAGAGCACGAGCGTGTGTATCCCTCCTTCCTTCAGCCCAACACTCTCGCTGGCATCCCGGCCAGATGAGAGGGACTGCAGAGGGTCTCCTTGAGTCTAGGGCAACGACTCATTCAATGGGAAAGTTGCCTCTTGGAAGGAATGACCCGCTTGGCTCCCACTTCGTCTTTCCTGCCTTGTCTCTCCTGCCTCTTCGCTTCTCCGTTCAGTCATTGGGCAGTCAGAGACAGAGAGAGGGAGAGAGAGAGCGGGAGGGAGGGAGGGGGAGAGGGAGAGAGAGAGAGAGAGAGATGGTGGGCAGACTTAGCACTTTGTTAAGTTTGTTTCTCTCTGAGTTGTGTATATATACATGTCTCTATGGATGCAATTGTGCAAGCATTTTTTTCCTCTTTAAAAGAATTTTTGGATTTCTCAATCGCCATACTGTTAAATTGATAAGCAATTATGGACTATCTTGATTATATCCTCCTTAGAAAGAAACAAACTTAACAAAGTGCTAAGTCTGCCCCCCATCTCTCCCTCTCTCTCTCCCTCTCCCCCCCCCCCCCCCCCCCCC